CTATATCAAAAACCGCAGCTACACGTGCGCGGAAGAGTGTCTCCAAGATAACCCCCTTTCTAACAAAACTTCATTATCTTTTACGTTTACAAACATACGTAGCTTACTGCCTAAAAAAGAAGAAATAGGTTCGCTGCTAGACGACAACGAATCCGACGTCCTCGTGCTTACTGAGACGTGGTTGCAACCTGATATTAACGATGACGAGATTTTACCAAATTTTAGCACCTTTAATATCTATCGTAAAGACCGCGCTGATAAAAGAGGTGGTGGTGTTCTTTTGGGCATCAGAAAAACAGTTTGTTCTTACGTTGTCGACACAAAATCGGCCCTTGGGATAATTTGGGTTGCTTGCAAAACAAGCCCTACTAACGTTGTTCTGATAGGAAACTGTTACCGCCCTCCTGATTCCAATAGTTGTTTCATAGCTGAATTGAGGGAAAGTATTACTGATGCCATTAACTTGTGCCATACTAAAACTGTCTTTCTTTTTGGAGACTTCAACCTTCCCCAGATTGATTGCAACCTTCTATTCTCCCCCTGTAACACATCATCCCAGTTTATCAGCCTAACGCTTGACTTTAATCTTGTACAGGTGGTCAATAAACCCACCCGTGGAAACAATACTTTAGATTTAATACTGACCTCAGCCCCTGATACAGTCGTGGAAGTCCTTTACCGAGAAGGTCTTAGCGATCACAGACTTCTTGAAGTAACCCTTGATCTTCCTGCAACGTTTTCCGGCAAAACTACCAAAAAAATTCGCGACTATAATAAAGCTAACTATGCCGAAATCAACAATGAACATGAAATATTCTTTAACCAGGTATTCTTGACATCGTTTAGCAATCGCTCGGTCCATGACAACTGGGTACTTTTCCGTGACAAAATGACCATCTTGATTAATAAATACATTCCCTTGATTTCGATATCTAATGACAAGTGTAATGCCTGGTTCGCTAAGTCACTCAACCAACTAAGAAATAAAAAGAAACGTCTCTACCGAAATGCTAAACGCCTGGGCACAGCCAGTGCGTGGGATAAGTATAAGCAGTGTTTAAACATCTACTGCGCAGCTATACGTTCTGCTAAACTTAAATATTTTTCAACAGACCTGGGCTCCTTCCTAAAAAATAACCCAAAAAAATTCTGGCGTAAAATATCTCGCAATCGGGATGCTAACCACATTACCTTACATGATGAGAATCACGAACCTCTTTCTAACAGCCAGTGTTGTTCTGCTTTTAACACTTTTTTTGCCTTAATGTTTACTCGGGAAGACCAATCCACATTACCTAACGTGCCCGATTATGATTACCAGTACATGAAACCTATTGAAATTACAGCTAAAGGTATAGAATGTCTGATAACTAAGCTGAAGCTGTCTAGCTCCGCTGGGGCTGATAATATTAACTCAAAAGTACTAAAAAACACAATTTTCATTACCAGTAACATTCTGTGCTATATTTTTCAACAATCTTTAGAGTCTGGGCAGATACCTGACGACTGGAAAGTTGCAAAAGTTACCCCATTGTTCAAGTCTGGAGACCAACATCTACCCCAAAATTACCGTCCAATCTCACTTACATCCATTTGCTGCAAGCTATTAGAACACATTATCGCTTCGCACATTTACAACCATCTTGAGTCTAACCAGTTCTTTTTCCGCAACCAACATGGGTTTAGGAAAGGTTGGTCATGCGAGACACAACTGCTAGAATTCACGACTGATCTTCACTCGAACATGAATAATAACCTCCAAATAGACTGCATTTTTCTTGACTTTTCGAAAGCGTTTGACCGTGTGCCCCACTGCCGCCTAATCTCAAAGCTATCTGCTCTTCAATTAGACTCACTAACCTTATCATGGCTTCGAAATTTTCTTTCTCTCCGGAAACAGTTCACTGTCATCAATAACGATTCGTCGTCAATATGCGATGTAACTTCCGGGGTGCCACAGGGCAGCGTGCTCGCCCCGCTGCTATTTCTTATATTTATAAACGACTTGCCTGATGGCGTCACATCATTCGTACGAATATTTTCCGATGACTGCATAATCTACCACCCTATCAAAAATGTTAACGATCATTACGCACTACAGAAAAACCTTGATGTAATTATGAAATGGTGTGAGACGTGGCAAATGGTTCTAAACGCATCAAAATGCAAAACCATCTCATTTATCCGTAAGCATGACCCCTCCATTTTTTCATACCGTATAAATAATGACCCGCTCTCGCATGTTTCCACATACAAATATTTGGGCCTACACTTCACACAAAATCTTTCATGGTCCTCCCACATCACTAACATCTGCGCAAATGCCTCGAGATCACTGGGATACCTACGCCGTAACTTACATTCCTCCCCCGCTAACGTCCGAAAAGTAGCTTACGAAACTTTTGTTCGACCTCAACTTGAATTTGCCTCACCAATCTGGTCCCCCCACCAAAATTACTTAACCAACATGATCGAGGCAGTTCAAAATAGGGCAGTCCGATTCATTTCTCGTAATTATAATTTCTGCTGCAGCGTAACACAACTTAAAATGGATTATTCACTTCAATTATTATCCACTCGCCGCAACATTTCTCTTTTATGCCTCTTTCATAAATACGTCAATAGCACTAAAATGACCAGACTTCCAATTGAACGACCCTCCTATTTATCAACTAGACTACACAACCGGCTTAGTTTCTCGCGCATGTACGGCAAAACGAACTCTTTTAACGCATCCGCTTTGCCTCGTGCCATCACGTTGTGGAATGATCTTCCCGATAACTTGGTATCTTACACTAGCCCTGTTTCCTTCCGCAACAAATTGGTCTTACATTTTGGTTGATAATTTCATGTTCACAGCTTCGGTCTTGTATGTATACGACATTCCTAATGCTGTGCAAAAAGTTTTTTTCTAATGCGCTCATTGCCCCCTTATTTTTTGTGCTTTATTTTTGTTTGCTTAGGACGAACTGTTCACACTTCCTGTCAGCGCTTTCATGATTTTTCCAGTGTATTATACCACAATCTGTGCCAATTTAACTTACACGTATTGTACACTTCCTAACTGCTGCGTGCCATGAACTGCATCTTTGTTGTTTTTTGGTAACGATGTATGATGTCAATTTATACTTACTTATTTCTTGTTTATTTGTTACTCAAGTCTCGAGCTTACGTTTTGGCACCTTTCGCCCTTTTACTTGTTGTACATGTCTTTGTTAGCCCCCCTTACTCAATGCCCAAACCAAGGGCCTGTAAGGTACCTGTAAATAAAAATAAGTGGACTGCGACAAGAACAAAAAATAGACAGGAAAACAGCAAGAGGCAAGGCAGTGCTGTAGGCGCCTCTGCAGTTGGCAAAGATTGCTGTGGCGAGGACGAATGTGTAAGTAAACATTGCGTCTGTCTGTGCTAGAATTAAGCTTTTTTTAAAATTCATACTGGAGCATATACACTGAAAAAAAGTCAAACTCAATTCAGTGTGTTTCTCCACAATTTTGAGGAAAAGCTGTCTCGATACCCCTTTAATACCAATAAACAGGAAATAAGTTGATGAATATATTGTTATCAATAAAATATTTTTGAATCTACGTTCTTACAATAGATATTTTCCTCCTCTCTCACCCATTTGCTATTTTTTTTCTCTCCCTCAGAGTGTTCGCTGGTTGGGTGGGCATTTCCTACAGTTACGGCCGTATCGCCCCATACTAAAACTCCCCCCGGAAAGACCCGCGAAATCCAGCTTCTCTGTGAAGATGGTGCGTTGTGAGAAGAAGCTTACTTCTCCACGTTACAAGGTACGTGGTTTTTGTACGTTCTTTTGTAAGCCGTGGTGGTTCGTTATTGCGAAACAATGCGATTTTCCGCTGTCTGAAGAATCACTCTGCTGGAATTCGACGAAATAACACAAGCACACAGTGTTTAGCTGAGTCTAACTAGTATAGCTCCTTCCATGGCAGGTGCTGTTTGCAGGCATAGGTTGCTCCTTCGATGAAAAAAATAAACTTTTTTTTCTGTGGGTTTGTGAACATTTTTCTTATTTCAAGACATTCGAATGACAAAACGTCTATTGATCGTACTTGAGCACGCCTGGCTGTCATGCGAATGAAAACCTCCGCCCATACGCTCAGAGTCCGTGACGGCCCTGCTGTACGGAACACGTTTATAGGCTTGATTCGCACGAGGAAAAGAAGCCCTTGCAGAAGAAATAAGCAGTTGAGAGTCAGCGCTTGTTTGTGTCTCTTCTCTTCGTCCCACGAGTTTGTGCGCTGTTTCTGCCCATAATGTATCACCGACTAGCCCAACTTTCAGTCTCGCTTCACTTGATTCGCAGCCATAACATGTTCAGTTTGATCAAGACGTATTTTAATTCCTTTCGTTGCTGTGTCTAGCGTAGCCAAACTGATACAGCGCACAAACGTGCAAATCACTGCGGGTGATCATACACGAATGAAATCAGACTAGCAAGACAGCTCAGGAGATGGAGCACGTGAAATTGCTATCTCACGTCTACGAGGATCCGATAGCGCGAACAAGAGCGCTCATGATGACCCGGAGGGAAAGAATGAAACCACGAAGAAAAGAAAGGGTCAGCGGGGTGTCCAGGATAAGTCATGTTTTCCTCCCTGTCGAAACCGGAGCGACGTGTTTGGCGAAGGCGACCCGTGTCCCTAATCAAACGCGTCGCAGGAAACCCTTCCGCCCTCGTTCCCCTTTCCGGGAACTTGTCGGTGGCGCTCTGAGAAAACGGCCTCGCCCCGTGTGTCGCACGGCGGCGCCAGGGTTTCCAGTTTCACGAGTGTTGCCCCGGGACCCGTACAACACAACGCGCCTTCGCGTGTCGTCGCGGCGCTTGAGCCCCCGAGGTTTGCGCCCGTAGCCGCGACGCGGCGCCACGGTGTCCGGGCGAGAGACGCGCGCGGCCAGCGCTCGCACGGCAAAGCCGCCGACGCTTCTGCGATATTGCGTGCATGCCGAGTGCGGCGGTGCGTGCTGGCGGCCTCTTTGCTTCGGCCGAACGACCAGACGAGCACGGGATGAGAGCGGCCGCCGTGTCGTAGGACTGCGATGCGTCGCCCGTGGCCGGTCGGCAGCCCCACAACGACATCGAGCGAGGATGCTGGGAGCGCACGCAGTTGCCGTGGATCTCGTATCGCCAGCAAGCAGCCCGATGCAGCGAATGGCGCCGCTCCCAGCATCACACTGTTGCGGCTCCGGTCGCCGGTGGAGCGGCCGCCGCTGAGGGAGCTCTGAGCGCCGCAGCTGACAGGCGACGGACTATGCGTCGACCCGCTCCGAGGAGAGAGCGCCCATTCGAGACGCCTTCTCCCGCGGCAGCTACTGTTGTTGTTCCGCTGGCGTGGTGCGATGGCGGCGGCTCGCCCGCGGCGGGCCGCCCCGCTTGGTCGTCGTCGCCTCCGACGGGGCACGTCGTAGTCGTCGCACGCCCCGCGCCGGTGGCCCGTGACTCGTGAGACGACGTCGGTGCCACGATGCCCGTTCGCAGGGGGCACGTTGCCCCTCACAACACCTTCATCGACTCCATCATCCGCAAGTTCGACGGCATGAGTAAGTCGGGGGCCAGTCGGTCTTTTCTTCGCAGCGAATATCGAAACACGCGCGACGCCCGTACGAGTGCCTCGCTCCCCTTTTCGAGGAAGGGTCTCTTCCCCATCCCTGAAGCCCCACCGCGGTGTAAAGACGCACGCTGCTGTTTCTTCCGCGAAGCGGCCGCCTGTGCTCCCCGCTAATCCTTACACTGCTGCAGGGAACGAGCTCGCCTGCCGCACGCCGTTGAACATGAAGCTCGCACCTTGCGGCGAGTCCATCCAAATCCCCCGAGGTCATTCGCAGAGCTTCCGTGTGCTTTGACACTTTCAACGCTAGCATTTCGCGTTGTTTTCTGCGGTATACTTTCTAGCTGGTGTAGGCTTCGTTTGCCAACGTTTCTTGTTTTAGGGTGCGAGCCGACGCGTCTAAGGCCGAGCTCGCGCAATCAAAGCCTGTTTCGGAGGACCGGTGTTTCTTCGCCTCCTTGTCAAGAGAGCAGATAATAATAATACATGCCACCCCCTCGTTTAACACTGCGCGCGCGCTCCACGAGGACAACGTACCAGTTGGCACCGCGTATACGAGCCGTCCTTGTGATCTATGTCGTCGTCGGCTGCCTTCATGCATAACGTAGCTGTTTGCACCACTGTTTTTAGCGAGAAAACACCGCCTCAGGCACCGCGTTGAAAAAGGAACGCGCGATGTAGTACAACAAAGACACTTGAGGTTAGTTGGTTTCTATTTGTCACGTGCTGTGTAGTGTGCCAGACGTGCTGGCGTTCTTTTTTTTTTTTTTGTCAAGGGATCAAAAATATGTTCAGGAAAACAAAAGATTTGCCACCGCGTTTACGTCAATACCGAAACATTTTTTTAGACACTCGGAGCTACAACTTATTTGAAACACGTAACAATAAATAAAAAAGTGCTCCGAAGAAACGTCAATTTGAAATACCCTAACGGTGTTACTAAGTCGTCGCGATGTCGACCTATTGAATCACACTTTTGATACAAAAGAATTTTTTATATCGTAGTCATATTTCCAGGTTTCTACATTGTTGTCATTTTCTTGAATTCCGTAACGTCACAAATATTTTCTTTTGCTTATACTGCGAGGTAGGACTGGAGATAAAGCATAAACTATCCCCTTCGTGAGCATTCCATAAAATGAACGCCGGTGCACTTAGCTCTCAGCGATCGTGCGAGGCATCTTCGTTTCGTAAGATTTTGCAGCCAATAGGGAATATAAATGCACGCTTCCCATCGTAGCGCGCATTTAATTTTGCATAATACCAAGCTGCAAGCCTTGCCTCTCTAATAAATTCTTCAACCCTTTCCGAAGGACCTTGAGAACACCGGCAGCTTTATTTTAATCAACGAGAGTGTAATCTAAACGCACGTGCCGCAAGCAAAATTCGACGGCGTGCATGGCAGACATAGATAAGCATTTTTCGATTGCGATGCCCCAATAAGACGTCACAGAGCCGCAATCACCAACGCCCTTGTCGACGATGCGTGAAATCAGTCATGTATAAACATGGCCACTTGCTTATTCGGCACAGCTGCCGCATTTTCACTGCGTAAGTGCATCAGTGGAAACATTCTTTATCGATTGATACGAGGAACTTAGCCGTTTGGATCAACTCTTGACCTATGAGAGACGAACTTATTCGCAGCTTTAAATTGCGTTCGAACGCCTGTGCATTTTTTTTCTTTACTGTGGACTTTTAAGAGCGCGAGTGTTTGGTGTACTTATGCGGTACAATGCAGCCGGGAATCGAACCTGCAGCCTTGAACATAGAGGCAGATCGCCGCAACCATATAGCTGCACCTCGGCGAGTAAGCTTTCCAAAAGGAAATAATAATAAATAAAACGAAAATAAAGGAAGTTTTCAGGACTACCGAAAAGTAGGAGCACCGAGACAACTGCGACATCGTCGACGAGGAAACTTGAATGCCGCTTCATGCAAGTCTCACAGTCCTGAATGTCATCAAACTGTTGGAGTCGATCGAGGGGGAGAGTGGAAGGGGGAGGCAGGCTATTGTTGCGGGCAACGAATTGTCTGGGTGGAGCCGCTTCGAAGGCGGGGTTGTAAGACCTGGCGAAATGGGGGGCATATTGCACCAAGCAAGTGAATCGATTATACATCCCCGGCACGGAGGAGCCAAACTGCTAAAATCATTTTTTTTTGTTCTTGCCTCGTGTGTTTTTCTTTGTATCGTTATTTCTCGTTTCTTTCTTTCTCGCTGTCTTTGTACGATTTCGCGGACTTTCCCCGCTGTGTCTGTCATCAATTTCCACAACGGGTGGGAGAGGGGGAGGGGTTGGGGACACGTGTTTTTGCGCGCGTCACGTGCTGCGCGTGGGACGTTCGCGCAAAGAAATAAGTGGCGGAAGAAATCCTCTGAGCGGATTACAGCCTGCGTTCGGCGAATGTTTTTTTGAGACGACTACCTTTGGTTTCCGCCCCGTTCTGCCAATGCCTTACAAAGCGCTGCCGCTGAACGAAAGTCAGCGTCGCAAACGGAAAGCCTATTAAGTGCTTCCGTTTCTACCTCTCTATAAAGGTTTAGCGCGAGGAAACACAGCCTTTGGAAGTGAGGGAGAGAGTGTGGATCAAGTAATATTGACAGTCGCGAGTGTAGGCAAACATGCCGGAGCTGCGGTACGTTTCATTGTGTGGGTACGTTTCCATCCCATAGATGCATCAGCGTTTGGTGGCGGAGTGTGGGCGTATTTCGCCGAATCTTTCCAGAAAACTGAATCCGCAATGACGTCGCTTCTCGCGTAGTTGATCTGAGAAATAACTTTAGAGCATGGACGAATGCAGAATTCTATTCGCAATTGGGTTGCATTTGCTGCCTGAGTAGCGTTCAGGAGTGAGGGGGATTGTAGGCTGCGGTCGAGAAACAAAATTGTGATTCTTCGGGAGTACTTTCTCTGTATTGATGTCAAGCTGATTCTCTTAACGGTCGCTGTTTATGACTCTTGAGCGCGAGTTTCACATGTTGACGGTGCTGGAATCAAATGAATGTTGCCCGATTTGCATACGACTTGTCAAAGCGGCTCGGAAACTAACAAAAGCCTTACGTATGCTACATGTATGTACAATCTGTTTTTTTTTCTTTGTCACATGGCTCAAGTGTAAACGCAACTACGGAGTTAGCACAGTGTTTTGATGCTGTTGCGGTATGTTGCAGTTGTCTAGCCTATATTTGCAAAGTACCATAGAGGTAGTTATATATCCTTACGTTCTTTATCAGATGTGGCGTTCCTAGCGCGTACAGGTATGATGATATTTCAACTAAATTGTTCATCACGTTTTCCTTCCTTTAAGGATCTATACTGCACAACCAAGCTGCTACTGTTTATAACTTTGAAAACGGCGCTGAGTTATTTTAACGTGTGTATAAATAAGATATTCCAAAACTTAGTGATAATTGAATAGTGACATTTCCATACAAACGCAAATTGTCGTCATGACTTTCTTTGTCATAAAAAGTCATCACTTTCTTGACAAAGAAAGTCATGACTTTTCTTGTCAACCAACATTTGCACCGTAAACATTCGCATGTGGCATCAGAGCGTAACCTTCGCTATTACAGTTTGATCAAAATCACGATATATTAGAAAGATGTAGTTAACTTGAAACATTTAACGTATACAATGGGATGACATACTTCTCGCACTAGTTTCACTGCTTGAAGCAATCTTGCACACAACACGAAGCGATTGGGCTTTCACATACACATTGATTCGGGCATATCCAGTCAAATCATGGGTAACAATTACCCAAGTGTTTGTCATCCTTATCATACGTGCGACATGCTTCAGCAATCGCTGTTCTGTGCAGTACACTGCTCGGTGATTTCGCAGGCGTTGGTTGGGTAGTTGCCTGCTTTCGTTCACGAGCTGCTTGCGAAAACACGATTGGGTGCTCCCTCGCGCACAAGTCAACAGCCTTACGTACAGCATATACTGTTGGCATGACAAATGCCTTTGCACCTCATAAAGGCGGCAGCTAAACAACAAACTACCACCGGCGGGAGATGAACAGCTGTTGCACCGCAATACCTTTTTTTTTCATTGACATCCATCAGTGCAACTCGGCATTTGCGCTTGCCCTGTATGTGACCGTACGCTGATTATTTTCTAGCAGTGTTATATGCTATGTGAGCCCATGGGTATTGGTTGATTGGTTGTGAACGCGACCAGACGTCCCGATTTAGGAGGGACGCATCCCAGTTTCGTGGCTGGTGTCCCGTTGCCCCGCCAACATGCTCGAGGGACGATGTTTTGTCCACCTTTCAGCCGAAAGCCGGCTCGCATTCACACTCTCCAGCCCAGCACCGCACCTCTTTGTTCTACTATACTGTACATGGCAGGACGACAAGGACATGAATTACAGGCCAATCAGCGTGCTCCACGTTGTATACAAGCTATTCACAAAGAAACGCTAACAGAATTAAGACATTAGAGAGTTCAGTCAAGCAATAGAACGAGCGAGATTTAGTACCGGCCACTTAGTATTAGGTGACATTTATACTATCAATAAGGGGAAAGAGAAATGCTCAGAATACACTCAAACACAACACACAGCTCTCATAGATTGTGAGAAGACGTTTGATTCAGTAAAGATATCAAAAGGCATGCAGACACTGCGGAATCAAGAGGTGACGAAGCATATATAAACATCCTGGAAGAAATCTACAGGGAATCAACTACCACCAGAGTGCTCCATAAGGAAAGCGACAAAGTAACAGTAAAGAATGGTGTAAGGCAGGGAGATCCAATATCCTCAATGCTATTTACCGCGTGCTTGCGGGAGGGTTTCAAAGACCTAGAATGAAAAGAATTGGGAATAAAAGTTAATGAAGAGTATCTTAATAACCTGTGATTCGCCGATGACATTGTCTTGTAGAGCAACTTAGGGGACGAACCACTGCTCATGATCACTGAGCTGGACACGGAAAGCAGAACGGTAGATCTGAAAATTAATATGCACCTCGGAATTAATAAT